AAATGCTATGATGTGAACCTGTAAACCATCAATTAAGAAACAACATATCTTGCATTTTTCATTTTATTTGAAGAAACCAAACCCTCTAACACAAGTCCAACATTTACAAGTTATTAAATGTTGTTGTTGCTGTTGGTGTAGTTTGATTTTGACAGCAGTGAAAACTTGATAATTTGCTGGCTAAATGAAATAACTATTTTGTGGACCTGTAAGCCACCAGTTGAGAATATAAGAGATACTCATAGTCTTGAATTTTTCTTTTTCTTTGAGGAAACAAAGCCCCTTCAATCCCACTTCCATCAAATTGGCAAATTTTGTTGTAGTTTGTCTTTTTGAAGTGTAATTTTCTGTCTGCTATGCTAACCATTTTTGTGGACTTGCAAGCCATCAGTTGAGAACTACACATCTAAAAATTATCTTAAAATTTTAATTTTATTTGAGGAAACAAAGCCCCTTCACTCCTAATTGTATCCTACATTTACAAGTTGGTGAATGTTGTTTTAGTAGTTTGGCTTTTTGGTGTGAAATCTTGCTAATTTGCTGGATAAATGTTCTGCTAGCTATTTTTGTGGACATACAAACCACTAGTTAAAAAACAAATTGTAGGCTATCACAGGCTTATACAAGCCTAGCATTTTCCAGGTTATTTGAAGAAACAAATCCCCTTCATGTGCAAGTTCATCCTATGTTTACAAGCTGTTGATGTAATTTGGATTTTTGCTGTGAAAACCTGTTAATTTATGTGGCTAATTGCTATACAAACTATTTTTTGTGGACCTTCAAGCCATCAGTTGACAACCACATCTAGAGGTTATTATATGATTAACGTTTTTGTTTTGATAAGGAAACAAAGCCCCCCCCCCATTGTGTCTTACAATGTATACAAGTTTGTTGACTGTGTTATGTGCTGGCTAACTGCCATGCTAACTCGTCCTTAGCAAGTGAGAACCAGGATTAGGTTTATATGAACACATTTCTGTTTGTTTTGTTTTATACTGTTAAAAATTAGCATTTAAATTCCTGTCATGACAATAACTGTTGGCAGAAACGATAAAGACTTTCTTTTACTCTACCAGCAAAATACAGTGTGCACAGCTGCATCTCACCCTCACCATTCTGAACTTTTCTCCTAGGAAGCATTTGTTCCCTACGGTACCGGCTATGGATAAATCCATGTGAATAACCGGCCAAAAGAAACCAACTGTGCTTGACTGCTATTTTCTCAGGTGGTTCACAGAACGTCTGTCCCCAGTGCTCTCGCTGTGGACTGGATCGGCAAGAACTTGTACTGGTGTGACGGCCAGAGAAAGACCCTGGAGGTGGCGAAAGCTAATGGACTCTACCCGACTGTACTGCTGAGGACTGGATTGAGGAATCCAACCGCTCTTGCTCTCGACACTCACATGGGGTAAATGATGCTTATTATTGCCTATTGTTCGCAATCCCAGAATGCATTGCTTTTGAGTACACTTTCAAGAAGCACCGCACCATTTAAAGCCATTTATTCCCATGGTGCCGTAGATATGTGTTCTGGATCGACTGCTGCGAGCAGCCCCAAATTGGACGGATCGGAATGGACGGCAGCAAGCCACGTGTCATAGTCGATACAGAAATACGTGTTCCCTCAGCCTTGACCATTGACCACATCAACAAAAGGATCTACTGGGCTGACGAGAACCATATCTTGTTTTCGAACATGGATGGTACAAAAAGACACAAAGGTATGTTTTGCCTTGTCTCGAATGTTGTCTCTTTTCGAATTGTCCTCAGTAATATCTCTCAATCCCAATTTCCAGTCCCAGTCAAGGACATAGGTGGCATAACCGGTCTCACACTCTTTGAGGACTTCATCTACTGGAGCGACCAGAAGTCAAAAACCCTCAGTCACTCGCACAAGACGTCCGGTGGCCAACATACAGAACTCCTCAGCTCCTGGCAAACCATTCGAGACATTAAAGTCTACCATCCACTCCGACAGCCTGATGGTATTACAGCAAGAAACTCAGTCTTCAGTTGACTTTTTGTGCTAGAGTCATGTTATTTCGGGCTTGTATCTTATTGTTTGTTGTTTGTCCTCAGTGCCAAAGCATCAGTGTCAAGTGACTAATGGAGGGTGCAGTCACCTATGCCTTCTTTCCCCTGGTGGGGGATACAAGTGTGCTTGCCCTACACACTTCTACCTGGCAAACGACAACAAAACATGTCTGTCTAACTGCACCGCCAGCCAGGTGTGACTTTATAATTACCTCAGGAGCCAGAATAAGGGTTTCGCCGTAGCTCAACTACTCTTGGCACCGCTTTCAACTACCAATTATATCCAGTCTGCTACTCGATAAATAGTTGTTCAAGAGGTTGTTTCTCTGTGT